AAACATTTTTCTCTCAAACCTCGCGATTTCCAAATATTTGACTGTCAAATATAAAAATGGGATACTCTGTATATAAATAGTTATAAACATATTCATATCTATTTACATCAATTAAATACTAAATTTATTTTATAACATTTTATAAAATATCCTAATTGTAAATAAATTATGATTTATAAGTCATGTATACAAAATAAATTAAAACAGATCTAATTTATAAAAATTAATTATTTTAATTACACAAAATATCTCATTTTAATCAATCCAGTCAAATTTCTCCGAAATTATTAATAATAAAACAAAATGTTTCAGATGAAAGTATAAGAGTTTCAAAGAATACATATTTTAGTCATAATGTTTTTTTAGAGATACAGGTGCTAAAAAGATATGAGGATCACTTTTACTTTTTTAAATAAAATTATATAATTTTTTTACATAATATGATTCCTCTCATTATTCTGCATATTTAAGTATTAGGATAAAGTTGCTGAAAAATCAATTCTTTATGACATTTTACATTTTATCATGTCATATTTTAATGTAAAATATAAAATATCTCAATAAACTTGATTTATTGATAATTGTACTTTTATGCATATAACAATGAGATGAATCAAATGGTATAAAGAAAACATAATTGCTTTGTTAAAAAAAGTATAAAAATTGCATTTTTTTTTTAAATAATTAGAGAAATTTTGTAAAAAAATATTACTCTGGCTCATATAATTAAAAATTAAGAAGTATCAAATGAAGGGCTAGTGAACCTTGCACGAAGTTAGTGCTAAAATTGCATATATTTAACAATAATAATTATCACCCAATCGTTTCGGCTCCGCATTGAGCCATCTTCAGTGGGTAAAAATACAAAAATATATAATTTAGCCTTTATTTTTTCTAACATCCATACGAGACTTAAATGCTTATTTCATAGAACGAAACACCTCAACACTGAGAGACACTTGACAATCACTAAAAAACGTTTTACGTTCCTGTACATTCGGAACATCTCTGAAAGAATTTTACCTATCATGAATGAATGCAATATAAAAACGGCTTTTTCGATACCAAATAATCTAAAGAACTTCATAAAAACAGGAAAAGATTCTCTGGATTTTATGTCACACAGTGATGTAGTATATAAGATCTCGTGCATGGACTGTGACGCCTCATATGTAGGGCAGACGAAAAGGCAGTTAAAAACTAGAATCCACGAACACGTCAGACATTAAAAAAATTAACGGCTCTCCCTCGGTGATTTCGATCCACAGAGAAAAGGAGAATCATAAGTTTGACTGAGACAACGTCCAAATATTGGATAATGAGAAACAGTACCATAAAAGATTAACATCAGAGATGATCCATATCATTAAACAAAAGAATGGATTAAATAAACAAAGTGATACAGAGTTCCTTTCAGATACATATCTTCCGATTCTTAACAGATTAACTCTTCCCTGAGTGGGTTCCTGCCTTCCTCCCTTAATCTCATTCTCATATCCTCTCCTAAACGCTTAAGCCGCCCTCTCTCGGGGAAAAAAGTGCTCTCGATCTTTCCTCACCAATTTGTGTTTGTCACTCTTCTGACTAACGTTCCGCTTGACATCTCGATTTTTATACATTGACTCAAGGTACTGTACTGTTTCGGTATTATTTAGATTATAATTTTCGTTAATTACATGATCATAAAGAATTCTCTGTTGTTCTTGAACAGATGTAATATATTTTTCCTCCGATACGATTCGTTAAATTGTTACATGAAGATGGAATCACTTGACACTGCGATTTTCCAACGAACGATCTCACAACGAGCGATAAGCGATCTTAGTGCGAGTGAAAAGAACAAAGCGCTAATGTAAAGTATAAAGAAAAAAATTATATATTTTTGTATTTTTACCCACTGAAGCCATGGCTCAATGCGAAGCCGAAACGTTTGGGTGATAATTATTATTGTTAAATATATGCAATTTTAGCACTAACTTCGTGCAAGGCTCACTAGCCCTTCATTTGATACTTCTTAATTTGTAAAAAAAATTATATTATTTCATTACGTTATATAATTAAATTATTAATATTAAATTATATAATTTGCTTTAAAAAATGGAAATGTCTTCATATCTTTTTAGCGCTTCTACCTAGAAAAGAAAAATGTGATCAAAATGTATCCCCCTCGAAATCCTTACGCTTTCATCTAAAACATTTAATTGTATCATCATTATCATCAATAATTGCGGAGAAATAATTAGATTATTAAAATTGGACATCCTGTATACAGTATAATTAAATAATTCTGAATATAATTATACCAATGATATATATCTAGACAAAACATTTGTATGATTTCTCCTAGAAAGCTTGAAGCTAACTTATTGACAAAGAAAGTATACAACAAATAATCATTAGTATATTCTTTCATCTTTCTCCAACTATCAGCATTAATTAAAAAGAGAGAAATTAACATACATATATATTCTTTCTTTAATTAATTGGTACTTAGAGAAAAAAAGAGAAATATATAGAAGAAAGAAATATACATAACTGTAGCTTTTATCATATGATTTTTGTCTACCTGTTAGCTTTTATACCCAAGGTCAAATATTTGATCTAGGTATGTATGTCATTGAATTATATAGACAAAAAAGATTCAGAACAACATATGTTATACATTTGTTTAAGCAAATAATTTATTATTTTACCAATAAATTATTTAAATATCTTCCATGCAATAATATGAAACTTACTGGCACCCATTACAGGAGGAGGTTTCAATAAATGTTGATCCTTTATTTGGAAATTTTGTGGCGGTTGATGTTGAACTAAGGGGAGATTTAATGGTAAATTGGTATGTGGTAAAACTTGAGGATCCATATTACATTGAAGAATAGGAAGAGGCCGTAAAGTTTGATAGCCTGACATATGATTATAAGGATATGATGAAGGAGATTGATGCACCGCATCACCAGGTCCAACTGTATGTCTTCTTGTTGTATGATAAGGAGTTCCAGATGGCAAATAAAGACTACTTTTCTCTTCCGTTTCAGCTTCAGTTTCACCAAACTGTCAAAAAAAGAGATATAACCATATAATATAATAGATTTATTAATACATTTTAAATATATTTTGTAATATTAATTTTGAAATGTAATTCTGGTTTAACAACTGATTATAGAAGAATAAAAGAGTGTTATTTTAAAATATTTTCTCTTTTTTCTTTATATTTTTATTCTTTTTCTGCAAGCAACTTAAAAGTGACAATTTTTTAACACAAAAAATAAAATATAATCTTCTTTTAATCATTTACAAGAATAAAATTCTTGATTTGCACAAAAATTATAAATCTTAAAAGTAATAAAATTTATTATATTATTGTAAACAGTTTTAAAATTTAAATTAGTTCTACAAGTATAAAATACACATCACTTGTATTATAGATCGTATCTTATCTCATTGTGCCTTTATGTAAACAAATAGAATGTATGCAGAGTATTTCTTTTTTTTTTAATCTATCATCCCTTATACCTTTGCAGGATAAATTCGAATCAAAAGTATGTTCAGACAAAAGTTGTATAGTTTAGAGCCTGTCCAAATCTCAACTCACGAGCTGAAACGCTACCATCTCTATCTCGTCTTGAGTGAACGAGACAGAGAGTAAATAAACAAAGATAGACGCTAGAGCTTGCTTGGGATTCATAGCTTTAATGTCTATCCTTGTTTCTTTACTCTGTCTTGTTCGGTCGAGACGAGGTAGAGGTGGCAATGTTTCAGCTCGCGAGATTTGAACAGGCCTGGTTAAGAAGGAAATAATAATAAAATAAATTTTCAAAAACAATCAATTTCTTAAGATTAAATGTAAAGGTCATCGTTATTTTCTAAACAGAGTAATGTGATTCCTGTAATTATTCTGCATATAACAATATTAAAATAGAGTTATAAAAAATAATTGTTTACGATAAATTTTATACTTTATTCTGGTATATTTTGACAAAATATAAATTATCTCATAAATTATCATTTTTTTAAAACTTTCCTTTAATACTTTTATATACAGAATAATTACAGGAATTAGATTATGTAAAAAAAAAATCAAATTTCAATTAAAAAATAGCGATAATTACTCATTTGCTATAACATAATTAAAAAATTGTCACTTTTAAGTTGCTTGCAGAAAAAGAATAAAAATATAAAGAAAAAAGGGAAAATATTTTAAAATAACACTCTTTTATTCTTCTATAATCAGTTGTTAAACCAGAATTACATTTCAAAATTAATATCACAAAATATATTTTAATGATTTTAAAACATTCAAACTCTTTTAAAAAACTTTGTTTTCAAGAATTGTTATAACAAATGAGCAATATAATCTTGAAAAATTGATTTTAATTATTCATCGTAACACCATTTTTGCAAATGTTGCATTGAAGAAAATTGAGAATATTTCCAGCGACCTCCAGCGATATAAACATTTTTATTATATTAACAATGTAAATACAAAACTTCGAATATTTTAAAATGCATGAAAACTTGCAATATGATTGTAAGATATTAAAATAAATAAAAATATTTAATTTAAAAATATATTTTAAAAAATAATAGAAATAATTTATAATAAGTTTTCTGGAACGTATAAAGAACTATGTATACAGGATGTAATCCCGTAATGACTGGACCAATGCTTAAGGGTAGATTCCTAAGATCATTTTAAGACAAAAGTTCCAATACCAAAATGTTGAGGCTATAATAGTTTTTGAATTATAAATGTTTAAAATTAACTAATCAGATCGTCTAAAGTTGGCGCGCTCAGGTACATCATAACGCAAACTCTTAAAAACAAAAGCTGACTTATCGCCCCTTTTATTAATATCGATATAAGGATTACATATGTGAATATAAGATTATTTTTATTGATATTTCTGCAAACACATTACGCAATAACATTGTACAATAATATTTTGTTTTTTATAATAATACTTTTTGTCTTTACATAATACATAAAGCGCAAACTGTCAGATGACATTTCATTCAAAAATCTGCTCAATTGCATATCTTAAAGGCAAAACTATAGTTTAACAAACGTAATTAGCAAATGATTCTTGTCCTACAATTATTTCACAAAATAAGCTATTATTGCTAATATTCTAAAATAAAACTTATTCAAGTACACTTTAAACACTTACACTTACATTTTCGGATTATTTTAATAAAATGTTTAAAGTGTACTTGAATGAGTTTTATTTTAGAATATTAGCAATTATTTTGTGAAATAATTGTAGGGCAAGTATCATTTGCTAATTACATACCGTTTGATAAACTACAGTTTTGCCTTTAAGATATGCAATTGATAGCAGATTTTTGAATGAAATGTCATCTGACAGTTTGCGCTTTATGTATTATGTAAAGACAAAAAGTG